TATATATATTCAGGGGAGGTTTGTGAACTTGGCAAATTTTTGTCAGCTGGACTGTTGACAAGAGATTTATTGCTGATGATGATTTTCTTTCAGTTTTAAGTAAATCAAAACAAACATGTATCAACATTCACAAAGCACCTTGCCGATTTGAAGGCGCTTAAATAGACTAGTCGGATTCACTGCTGTTTTGTCGAGAAGGTGCTTATCGCGCCGCTCGTGACTTTAAATCGTCTTCCGTCAAGCCGTCACGTCGCAGAACTTCGTACGAGGAAAAACCCTTGGAGTAACTATTTATAGCCTACCGAACACGGCGCGTTCAGCAATGACGTCAGTCCACTGGGCAAATCCATCGACTGCCCTCAGAGCGAATATAGCATCCCTTGATTGCCAAATTGGCCTCTGCGTTACTTACACAATTAAGAATGAGACTATCTTGAGCAGCACAGACACAAGAATTATTTTATCAGCAGTACATGTATTTATCATTCAGCCTTTCTCTAAATTTCATCAGAACATTTATTGCACTAATCTTTTTTGCTTATTGAATTTTTAGCCACCTATAGTTCCTGTTTGATATTTATTCATCGCTTTCTCCCCACTAATAACTTACCTGGCCCATGTGAGTCTGGCCTTCGAATAGAGGGTTTGTCTAGTGAAGATATATAGGAGAATTATGACGAGGAGGGATAGGCACTCGGCTGTCAGAGACTGGGCCGACAACAATAGGCATACCCGCTCCCTTCCCTCCCCTTTTCCACCGTCGCCCCAGCTAGACACCAAGTTCTATAATAAGCATTTGACACACTTCCCCACTGGTTACGACACTGTTCTGAGAATTGAGAAGTACGATGAAGAACATTTGATTACATAATGATGAAAACTGTTGTGTGCTAACTTTGTCCAGCTTTGTATAGTATCTGATTGTAGACTTGATCTGCGTGGGACGAGATTCCCCTAATATTCATGGTCACTAACCATCGGTTTGGATTGGAATCATTGTCTTAATTCTAAAGACTGCTGTTTAGTCAAGGTATTCACTAGATTCTAGATGGTAACAGCACATATCTCGGCCGGAAGTGTGACATTAGTTACAAAACAAGAGGAGTGATGATCGCGCCAACAGGCAGCCTTCTGTGCTCCTCTTAATTTGTGGTGTTCCTGACTGTTTTTAATTCCTGTTTTTAATTCCTGGATATTTTTAAAAAGTTATAGATCTACCATCATGTGCATTTAGTTTCGGCGATTAATGTGATAGCTTTGTCCTTGAAGTAAAGAAAAAACAACAACAACAACAACAAACTTCCGGTTGGCAAATAATCATGACGTCAAGTTCTTATTTATTCTCTAGGCTACAGTGAACCTCATTGTTTCTGCTTAATCTGAGGAAGAAGCTCGATCTAAGATTCACGATTTTTTCTACGAGCTTCCCCTAATCTTCATAGTCACTAATCATCGGTTTGAATGGACAGTGTAGAGATATTCACCGAAAGGGAAAATAGAACAACATTCTCCCCAGACACTCTGTTGTTATTTCGACCAATGAACCATGTCTTTATATCTCCCAATGTTATGAGGAAACTAAGAGAAAACAATCTAAATAGGATCCCAAAAACTAAACGGTCAAAGAGAGGAGGGAAAAGAACATTACAATTTGAAATATCTCAGAGAAAAAACCCAGGTCAAACAAAAGGACACCAAACCCAAGCTGACACCGCCCCCAGAGAGACAGCGCGACTCCAAGAGGCGGCCCGGCCTCCCCATTTTTTCTCCCCAGGACCCAGAGCCTTCAATGAGAACAGCACCAGCGCTAGAGAAACCCCCACTCACAATACTCAGCCGACACTCAACCGGCACTCTCCGACCCACAGTGGAGCTACCGCAATCAACACTGTTGCCCAAGCCGAAAGGACATCCCCTTCACCGGATGCCCTGCCGCCACAGGTCTGCAACGCCTGCGGCCGAAAAGAGAGGCTGCTTCTTAACCCGTTCATATGCTGTGCTGACGGCTGCAACGAGAAATTTCATCAATCCTGCAGCGGCATCTCCCGGTACTCCAGGAAGCGCGAATGGCTCTGCAGAACTCACTGCTCACCCCCAGTCCCCGTCGACCAAACACCCCGACAGGAGACCTTTGCCAGACGCGAGTGCAGCGTCTGCAGCAAGATGCTCAGGAAAAACGCCGGCCGGTTCCGCTGCGACGAATTGGGATGCTCAAGCGAGAACCATAAGGACGTTAGGTGCAGCCACATCGGCAGGTTCCACCCCAAGACAAAATGGAGGTGTGCAACCCACTCCTGCAACACGGCCCCAACCGCAATCCCAATCACAAATAACACAGTCAGATCTACCCCCCTACCATCCACCCCACGGCCCAAGGTCAACTGTAAGGGCTGCCGGAAACCAATCCGAGTGAATACCACGCCAGTTGCATGCGCGTCCTGTACCCAGTACTTCCACAAGTCTTGCACGAAACTAACGAGACTGCTCGCAAACGCCGCTGCGGAAGGTATTGTTAGCGGTCGAATAAGCCCAGAGACTTCACACGGTGGTGGGTGGCACAGCGATCGAAACATCTGCCGATGACCCCCAAAAGTGGACCAAAAGTTCGCTCAGCATTATGCAGTGGAACGCCGATGGCATCACAACTAAGGCAAACGAGCTTGGACTTTGCTTGAAGGAGGGTGATTTCGACATCTGCCTCATCCAGGAATCGAAACTAAAACCAAGTAAGACGACACCTAGATTTGAGGGATATTCATCAATCAGGGTGGACAGACGGAGCAAGGACGGAGGTGGAGGTCTCATCTCTTATATCAAGAATACCCTGGTTTTCGAACATGTCCGAGACGCGTCCATCAGAGGAACTGAGCTTTCGATGTTTAAGGTGAGAGTCGGGAAGAGAAAATGGGTCACACTGTGCAACATTTACTGCCCCCCCCCCCCCCCCACGTCAGATCCCACACATCTCAACAATCTACACGTTTGGCAACCGACGAACTCCCAACCACACCCGAGTCTATCATACTAGGTGACTTTAATGCCCACGGTCCCCTTTGGGATCCCTTTCAACCACCGGATGCAAGAGGGGAGAGTCTGCTGAACTGGACACTGGATAGCGACATGACGGTAATGAACGACGGAAGACACACTCGTATCGTCGAGACCTGACGACCATCGCAACCCCAATCCCTCTCCCTCAACCATCAACCGGAGGAAAAAGTACCCCTGATGTCTCTATATGTGGGTCAACATGGAGCGGGAAGCACACCTGGTGCCCAGTAGACGGAATTGGCAGCTCTGACCATGCGCCAATTTCCGTGACCCTTAACACTGAGGTCAGCCATGAATCAGTATTCAAGGGTCAAGTCACCTGGAAATCGTTCGGTGTCGACTGGAAAGCTTTCACCGACGCCGTTGAACTTGACACTGTGACTAGAATGCCGTCGAACAACCACATCCGCAACATGGTGTCTGAATTCCACACTGCCCTGATGGACGCCGGTACCCGTATTGTCGGCACTGTGAAACCAGGCAGGCACACAAAGACATGGGAAACCCCCACAGTTCCAAGAGCAATCCGGAGGCGAAGTAGACTCCGGAAAGAGGTGCGAACCCGCCGCAAAGAATGGCTAGAGGCGTGCCACGTGGCGCAGGAGACGATCAACGATGCTAAGACCGACGCCTGGCGAAAACTGCTCGAGAAAACCACCAACTCACAGGACGACACCAAGATGTGGAAAATCATAAAAAGCCTCAACGGTACCCCTGAGACAAACTCGCCAAATGAAGCAATGTCACACAATGGGCGATTGGTGACATCAAGCAAGCATAAGGCGGACACATTCGCAGACCACTATGCGAACGTCTGCAGTCTAAACATGTCGAAAGAAGACAGAGCCGAAAACTGGCAACTCAAACAGCGACTGAAATACTTACGGAACAACCCAAGGGCAGACCAGCCCGATTTCACTATCGGGGAACTGAGGAATGCCATTGCAAAGATGAAGTCCCGCGGATCACCCGGACCAGACAACATCCCTCCGTCCTTCCTCAAAAACCTGGATCCCAAAGCGCTGAAGAAACTGCTCTCCATCTTCAACATGTCATTTCGCTCAGCTGATGTCCCACAAGTCTGGAAAGACGCCATCATTGTCCCCCTCCTCAAGACCGCCAAACCAGCATCGGAACTAACGTCGTTTAGACCGATCAGCCTCACATCCTGTGTCATCAAAGTTATGGAGAGAATGGTATCTGAACGACTGTACGACATGGCCGAGCGGAACGGCTGGTTCTCCGATCTGCAGGCTGGTTTCAGGAAGGGGAGATGTGTGGAAGACCAAATTCTGAGAATTACGCAGAAAATTTCCGATGGCTTCCAAAAGAAGGAGAAATCGCTACTCGTCCTCCTCGATTTTTCAAAGGCATACGACACGGTCTGGCGAGAACGCCTACTCCTCACCCTCCTGAACAGAGGTATCAAAGATAAATACGTTATATGGCTGAATGACTTCCTTCAAAATCGTCAAGCCAGAGTCCGATTCAATGGAACACTGAGTAATAGCAGGAAAATGAACCAAGGTCCCCCACAAGGTTCGGTCCTGGCACCCATCCTCTTCCTTTTTTATATCGACGAACTGGCGAAACTACTTCCGGACGATCACACAATTTCACTCTACGCTGACGACGTCTCTATCCTCGCTTCATCACGCACAACACGAGACGCCGAAAGTCTGGCACAAAGAGCGGTGGACATCGTTGCTGACTGGAGCAGGCGATGGATCTCACGCTAAACGGCTCAAAGAGCGAGACAACATTATCCACGCTCGCAACATCTGACTCGGAATGGAAGCCGTGCATCACGATAAATAATTCTCAATTAGGTATGAGCCCTACGCAAGACTCCTGGGAGTCACACTCGACCGCAGGCTCACGTTCAGGAAACAGGTTGAGACAGTAATAGCTAAGGCCACACTGAAGATGAGGATGCTCGGCGCTGTAGCGCACTCAAAATGGGGATGGAGGAAAGACGACCAACGCAAGGTCTACCTCACCCATATACAAAGTGTTCTCAACTTTGCGAGCAGCAGCTGGCAACCGTGGCTGAGCAAAACTCTGATAAATAATCTGGAGGTGATTCAAAACAGATGTCTGCGACTGATTACCACCCAAGCCCAGTCCTCACCGATCGAGGCACTTCGAGCTGAAACGGGGGTCCCAAGCATTCAGTCCACCATAAATGCTAACTGTCTCCGATCAAGAGAGAAGGCCCTCCGACTGAACAACGACCACCCTCGACGAATTGCGGCAACGGAACAAGTGCACAGACGCCTAAAAGGACGCAGGGATTTCCGAAAAAGGGCCGAAGACGTCAGCAAAAAGAGCCCACATCTGTTCGACTGCGAGAGGAGGCCCATTACTTACTTCGAAACCAGGCCCTGGGAACGTGGAATCAACCCCGACATCACTTTCCCCCACCTGTACGGCATAAGCAGAAGGAGTGACTCCAGTGGGAAGATTCAAAGCGCTGCTGTTCGTCGAGCACGAGAGCTTGGCGCACAGTACAATATCTACACTGACGGCTCGGCTAGGGCAGGAACAACGGACGGCGGCGCTGGAGTCGTCATCACAACGGGGAACCCGTCCAACCATACCGTTGTCGAGACATTGAGGGAGAAAGGCGCCATATTTACGTGCTCTTTCGAGGAAGAAAGGAGAGCCTTGGAAATGGCCATTGACTGGATTGACAAAGAGTGCGATGCATCCAACTCGGTCGCTATCTTCACCGACAGTCAATCACTATGCATGGCACTAGTGGGAACATCACCATCCTTCGACCAATTGCGACTACGCATAAATAATGCAATACCTCAACCCACGATTCAGTGGATCCCTGGTCACCGCGATATCCTCGGCAACGATCTCGCTGACAGTAATGCCAAACTGGCAACAGCGCTGCCGGGTCCAGGCCACAAAATTACTTATGACAGTGCGTGCGCCCAGATAAAACTAATTACAAAAGACCCCCCTATATGCCACACGCGGACGAAGGAAGTATACAGGGCATTTTCCTTAAAACGAGAGGCTCTTATTATGTCCCGCAGTGACCAGTCATTACTGGCAAAAATCAGGACCGGTCATTTCTCTGGGCTTCGGGCCTACAAAAATAGAATAGACAAAACATCGGACCCAATATGTCCATTGTGCAGCGAGGAGCCCCAAGATTTGGAGCACTGGCTGCAGAGATGCCCTGCCACGGAGGTCCGGCGGTGGCATCTCTTCGGGGAGGATTCAGGGAGGTTGGACTGCCTCACCCGCTACCCAAGGGAGGCGGTGGCCCTGGCGAAGAGCACACTCTTCGGGGCTCCGAACATTTCGAACGGATAGGCTACCACACACACACAGCCTCTCTGGTACAGTATAAATTGACTTTTTGTCTTCATACAGGACCGTTTTATTACATATATTTACAGGTCGAGTGCGCGTCGATAATGTGTGTGGGTGTGTAGAAAGTAAACGTCTTTGGTTAAAGTAGATCTACTGGAGGCCAGGACCAACAGTTTATTGCTTCTCATAGTCAGTTTGTTTTCTAGCATAGACTTTAGTAGTAGTAGTAGTAGTAGTATTTTTTTCTGTGTCGATCAAGAGAGAAAGAGATAGATAGATAGATAGATAGATAGATAGATAGATAGATAGATAGATAGATAGATAGATAGATAGATAGATAGATAGATAGATAGATAGATAGATAAAGAGAGAGAGAGAGAGTATGTGTGTGTGTGTGTGTGTGTGTGTGTGTGTGTGTGTGTGTGTGTGTGTGTGTGTGTGTGTGTGTATGTATGTGTGTGTATGTGTGTGTGAGTGCGTGCGTATGTGTGTTGTGAAAGAAGGAGGTGGGGGGAGGGGGAAAGAGTCGATGTGAATGATGGCAGGTCAGTTCTATATAACCACGAGCCGCCACTGATAATCATACATACGTACGCGCACACACACACACACACACACACACACACACACACACACACACACACACACACACACACACACACACACACACACACACACACACACACACACACATATATATATATATAATATATATATATATATATTATATATATATATATATATATATATATATATATAATATATATATATATATTATATATATATTATATTATATATATATACATATATATAAATAAAATATGTGTATGTGTAAAATATATATTATAATACATTTATCTATATTATATACATTACATTATAATCTCAGTTTTACCTATTGTCATTTTTATTATGCCAGTCATTGTCTTTGTTATTATCTTTTCATCCTCTTTGTTATTACGTTTGTTTATTTTCTGTTAAAATCTTTCTATTTCTCTCAGTTCTTATCTTTGTAAGTGTCTCTGTTATCATCCATGTCATTATCTTTGTTATTTTCTCAGAAACTGTCAACGTCAACGTCACCGTCACTGTCACAGACTGACGTGTTTCGGGTGTCCAGTTGGTCAGTAGGTGACGTCACAGCGGCAACTTGGTTGTCCTGGAAGGGTACTCCAGATAGGGACTTGGTGATCTGCCGAGCTTGATGAAAGGTCACCGCTGGTTCCTGAAGGAGGGGGGAGAGAGGGAGAGGGGTGATAGATAGATAGACATGTATAATATATTATACCGACACACGGACGCAAAAGTACGCACACAGACAGATACGCAGATATGCAGATACACAGATATACAGAAACGCAGACAGATACATAGATAGACATGCAGATGCACTGATACACACATAGACACACCTACAAACACACAGACACACATACAAACACATAGACACACACAGACTGATTCACAGACACGGAGATATGCAGATACACAGATATACAGAAACACAGGCTGACACACAGACATACATGCAGCGACACAGATACATACACAGACACACGCACAGACACAGAACAGACACACAGACACACAGTCATACTCACAGATACACGCACACAGACACGCATACATATATATAAACATACAAACACACAAATAAGCAGATATGCAGAAATGCATGCAGACAGACAGACAGACAGACAGACAGACAGACAGACAGACAGACAGACAGACAGACAGACAGACAGACAGACAGACAGACAAACAAACAGACAGGCAGACAGACAAACAGACAGACAGTCATGAAGATACACAGATGCACAAACTGACACACTGACGGACACACAGACCCACAGACCGACGGCCAGACAGACAGTCAGACAGACAGACAACCCCATGGCACTCAACCATGCAGATATACAGATACACACATAGACACAGACACAGACACAGAGGACACAGGCACACAGATACACTTACACGAGAGAGAGAGAGAGAGAGAGAGAGAGAGAGAGAGAGAGAGAGAGAGAGAGATCACAAGTTCTCAAACATCTCACCGACATATTATTATGTTCCTCGGCGGCGAGATGGAGCTCGAAGGAACAGGACAGCGTCACTTCATCTCCCAGGCTTGGATGGGAAGGGGACGCCTGGAGCCTGTGGTTGGTGATGTCCCCTCTCCTGAGCGACTGGTCAGCTCTGGTCATTGTCGGGACGAAGCCCATGGTGACGGCGAGCAGGACTGTCAAGTAGTGGTTTGTTTTTGGTTAGTACCTTCTGGTTTAAAAAAGAGTAGGGGGCTCTCGTGGCCAAGAGGCTAAGGTGTTCGCCTCCCATTCAAAAGGTCCCAGGTTCGAATCCGGATAGCGATGGAAAATTTTTCATCTCTAAATTGTCTCCTTTTACATCCGTTCCTGCTCTCTAACAATGATCTGTCGTCTGCTTTCTTCTCCACTTTTTGCCCCCCACATAAGATAAGATAAGAGAATATTTTATTATCTCAGAGGGAAATTTTTCTTGTCTGTACAGGGCCGTAAAACCACAGGCAGTTAAACATAAAAAAATATAATCTGTAGCATACATGTCCTTTCGTTCAACAAATTATTAGAACGCGTGAAAAGACAGCGAGCATAGTCCTTTTGTTACATGAAGAGAGATACACACAAATAAGGCCTCAGGACGAGACATGACATTCGTACATTCACTCGAACAGGTTGGCGACTTTCCCTGAACTCTCACTCATGAACTTACGTACTACACATAACAACACACAAGGTTAGTCGCCACACACCTCCCCCCAGCACAGACGTCTCATGGGATCATTGGTAGCGTGTGGGTGGACGCACTTGACGTCCAGCACGTGTCGTGAGTTGTCGGTGGTGAACGGCCTCAGTATCTTACTCTCTCCCATCGGTGCTCCTAACGGTAGGCTTTGGTTCCCGTAGCACCGGAGGGCGGCTGCGTCGTGCTGGTTGCTTTAGATGGGCTGGTTGGGTAGGGTCTACCTGTGTAGGCTTTAGGCGATCTACTGAGATGCGTTCCGTGCGGCCTCCGATGTCCAGAAGGAAGGTCTTTTCTCCCGGGGCGAGGACAACGTAAGGACCTGTGTATGGTCTTTGAAATGAACCTTTCACGGTATCTGTGTGGATGTAAACATACTTCGCTGTTAACAAAGATGGTGGGAAGAATGTGACTGGGTCACTGTGGTGGATAGCCGGTCTAGGCCTAGTGAACTGTGCTTCAGCTCGAAAAGTTGTCAAAAAATCTGTTGCTGACCAAGTAGATGCTTCAGAGGGTAAAAGATCGCCTGGAACGGTCAGTGGCTCGCCATAGACCAGTTCTGCTGATGAATATCCCAGGTCATCTTTGGGAGCGGTTCGTAGCCCAAGGTGTACCCAAAGAAGTTCTTCCACCCAGTTGTTACCAGTGAGTCTGGCCTTCAATGCCGTTTTAAGTGAACGATGGAACCTTTCGATCATTCTGTACTCGACTGCTGAGCTGCTGCTAAGGCTGCAAAATCCATGCCGAGTGAGACTGCATTAGTTGTGATCACAGCACGTGAGAGATAATCGGCAACAATGTTTGTCTTCCCGGATATGTGCCTGATGTCAGTGCTGAATTCCGAGATAGCAGACAGCTGTCTTTGCTGCCGGGCTGACCACAAGTCTGTAGTTTTTGACATTGCAGAGACCAACGGTTTGTGATCGGTGTAGATAATAAATTGCCTACCTTCCACCATGTACCGGAAATGGCGTATCGCAAGGTGTACACCTAAAAGCTCTCTATCAAAGGTGCTGTATTTCATTTCCGGCTTACGTAGTGGCCGGCTGAAAAAGGCGAGAGGCTCCCAACGATCATTCTTGTATTGCTCGAGGACAGCACCGACTGCCACATCAGATGCATCACAAATGAGAGCGATTGAGCAGTCTGCGCACGGATGAACCAGAATAGATGCGTTTGCCAAGGCTTGTTTACCTGAAAGGAATGCCTGGTTCATTTTATCGGTCCAACTTAGAGCATGACGAGGCTTCTCTGTTTTCAGAGCGTGGTAAAGAGGGTGCAAAATCGCAGCGATGTTGGGAATGAAACGATGGTAAAAATTCAGTACACCCAGAAACTCCTTCAGCGCTTTGACTGTATTTGGCTTAGGAAACTCTTTAACGGCGTCAACCCTAGAGGGCATAGGTGATGAACCTGATGCAGAAACCGGATGTCCTAAAAAATCAAGTGATGTAACGCCAAAAAGACATTTTTTTCCAGTTTAATCACCAATCCATGGTGCCGCAACAGCTGAAAAACTGCGTTGAGGCCGTCGACGTGAGACTGGGCTGATGAACTAGCAACTAGGATATCGTCCTGATATACAAATGCACAATCTAGGTCCTGAAGCACTGTATCCATCAGTCGCTGAAATGTTTGTGCTGCATTCTTTAACCCGAATGGCATCCTCAAGAATTCCCACAAACCAAAGGGTGTGATCACTACCGTTTTAGATACGTCCTCGGGCGCCATGAGGATCTGATGATATCCTCGAACAAGATCAATTTTAGAGAAAATGGTCTTACCAGTTAGACGAGCAGAAAAGTTCTGAATATGGGGTATGGGGTAACGATCTGGGACTGTAGCATCGTTCAACTTGCGGTAATCTCCACATGGGCGGAACCTCCGTCGTTTTTAGACACAACATGCAGAGGCGATGCCCAGGGGCTGTTTGATTTCCGTATTATGCCCATGTTCTCCATCTCAAGGAACTCCTTCTTTGCAGACGCGAGTTTGTCTGGTGCCAGACGATGAGCACGAGAAAAAAACGGTCGATCTTTGGTGGGAATAAAGTGTTGCACACCATGCTTGACATCGGCTGAGGAAAAAGTAGGCTTTAAGAGTTCGGGATACTCGTTGAGAATCTTGAGGAATCTATTGCTTGATGGTTCTATGAGTGCCAGATCTGGGCCAGTTGAAATGGAACTGACCGAGCAAGAGATATGCGAGAAGGTTTCTGCCTCAATTAGACGGTGTCCTCGAACATCAACTAATAAATAATGTTGCCGGAGGAAATCAGCCCCCAGTAAGGGTCGCTTAACATTGGCTGATATCAAACGTGCTTTAAACACACGGTCACCGAAATGAAGTGGTATAACTTTGGATCCATAGGTCGCTATTGTTGTTCCGTTGGCTGCTTGCATGGGTAGACCTGTCGCACCTGTCGTTCTTTCCGCCCATGACGCTGGTGTCACAGAGACTTGGGCACCTGTGTCTATCAGGAAACGTTGTTTAGACTTAATGTCCGTGACAAACAGCTGAGTCACTTAACAATCTGTCGTCGGTGTCGTAAGAGTTGTTGTTGAGCAACATTGCGGACCAACAGTCGGATCTTCTACTTCTACTGCTGGCCGGCTCTCCCGTTTCCCTGATTCTTTTTGTGTTGGAAATTCTTAAAGTGCTTGCATGGACTGCTGCAGCGTCTTGCGTTAGATCCAAATTTTCGATGGAACCAGCAAATAGCATAAGCTTCGGAAAGGTCTGAAACAGAATCGATAGGTCGCACCGCTGTATAGACTTTCAAATTTGGCGAAAGGGAGTTGTACAGGTTATCCATTTCTTTCGCTAATGCGCGGTAATCTGTTCTGTGGTGGGAGTTCGCCAGAGGAGCTCTAATAGGTTCTGGCAGCAACTGTAAAAAATTATGGCGAAAAAGAAACCACGGTTTGTGTTCTCCCAACAAAGCTAGCATTTTTTCCATCATCTCGGAGGGCCTGTTATCGCCCAGTTCTTTTATGCTCAATAAGGCTGCTGCTTTTTCTTCCTCTGATAAACCATAGGCCTCTATAAGGAAAGACTTGAGTGTGTCGTATTTTTCACTTGAAGGAGGTGAGGAAATTATGGATAGGGATCTTGCTGCTGTAGCTGCATCAAGTGCCGCTGCGACGTAGTAGTATTTTGTCTCGTCAGTTGTGATCCCACGCAAAGCAAATTGGGCCTCTGTTTGTGCGAACCACGCTGAAGGACAAGAAATCCAGAACGTAGGAAGTTTTGAGTGCTACAGTTTCGATTGCCATGATTGTGAGAAACGTATCGCCTTTACTAGATTCTAGGTTATGCCAAATTAAATCTAGATCTCTAGACAACGTTACCTTAGATCACGTCGGGGTCACCAATGTAGCATACATGTCCTTTCGTTCAACAAATTATTAGAACGCGTGGAAAAACAGCGAGCATAATCCTATTGTCACATGAAGCGAAATACACACACCGAAGGCCTCAGGACAAGACATGACATTCGTAGGCCTACATTCACTCGAACAAGTTGGCGACTTTCCCTGAACTCTCACTCATGAACTCACGTACTACACATAACAACACACAAGGTTAGTCGCCACAAATTATATATTGCTCTCATTAAAATTCAATATGAAAAGAGAAGAACAACTGACAAAATGTACAAATCTCATCAGAAGGATCATTCAATTTAATTAGAATACCTGTAGAGTTATAATTATAGATATATACTAGAAAGAGCAATACCTATTGATGCATATTCTGACAATAACCTTATGCTTAGAAGGTAAATTTTTAAAAATATCTTTCTTTCTTTGCTTTTAGAGGTATACGTCTACCCGTGCATGATCTTACTATTTGCGAGGAAATGGGTTGTGACGGGTCGTTTATAATGCTAGTTATCTTATTTTATGCTTGTTTTGTTATACGTTTCATCAGTTCATTCATCCCCTCCTCTGACCTCGTGATTCTTTCTGCAGCCTTTCTACTGCTACTCCCTATCTCTTTCCTAATGTTGTCTTTCAGCCACCCCCCAGACCTTTTGGTATGAAACATCTACACCTAGCCTTTTCGGACAAGGGCGAAAAATATTTTTGCGCGCAGATTTGAATGACATCCTTTTTCAACATGGTTGAGCCCAGCCCCATTGACATCTCTGGGTCCTAGCTTATCTGAGTGAAAATGTGCTTCGCCGTTTGATCGGTTGGAGAGGTACTAAAATACCTCGCTGTCTACGACTGACCTGCCAGATCCCCAGACCGCATTGTGTGTGGGTTTTTTGTGGGGGTATGTTAAAGACAAAGTTTATGTTCCACCACTTCCAGCTAATATCGATAACATGACAGATCAAATGGCAGCTACAATCAACACGGTGACCGTACTGCTACTCCTTGGCTCCTTCTTAATGTTATCTTTCAGCCACACCACTGATTTTCTGGTAGGAAAGATCTACACCTAGCGTTCTCGGACAAGGGTAAAAAATCTCGGAGGTCCCGAGTGCAAATTGCGCACGTTGAAGATCCCTTGGTGGTCTAAAATCGATAAGAGCAGGCTTCGGCTGACAACCGGGCAACATTCAAAATGTCCTACCAATCTAAAATGTTTAATATGTCCCGTGCGCTGATATGACCTTATGCAGTTACGAGCGCCGTAAAACACTTACCCATAAAAAAAGAAAAATAAAACACGATGGCCTGAGATATGAGGCGCGTTTGGGAGGAATTCTCATATCGGCTTGATGTTGTCTTTGCTGCTGGCGGTGGCCACATTGAGCACTTGTAAAACTTGAAGGTATGTACAAAAAATATGTCCAAACTGGAGTTTTCTGTTGGTTTTCGTTTTTGAAATATATTTTGATGATTTTGGCGTATTCTTTTTGAATCTCCCCCTATTTTAACGTGCTCGCAGCTGCATAAGGCCATATGTTTGTTTTAGTAGAGGTTTTACGGTGCTCGCAACTGCATAAGGTCATATGAGCGCCAAGGGGTAGATGTCAACAGAGAAGTACGTACAGGGAATCAGATTTACTCTGCTCACCGCTCTAGCTTCAACAGCACAAAGGTCTGCATCGATTATCAAGGGTGGGGTGGGGGTGGGGGGGGGGGGGG